TTGTGGTCGATTTAGGATCAACAAATAATGGTCAAAAATTATAAGGTTGGGCATTATTTTTTGAAAGATCTGCTCATTTAATTTCTGAATGTATATGATTTAGTAAATTTGGAAAAGTATTTAAAATTCTATAGGGACTTAGGGCTATCGTAATTTCAGGTCTAGGCTCGAAACTTTGAAAGAAAACTGTTTCTCATCAAAAATAATCGGATTTTTCAAAATTCAACGTTTCTGCTGGTTTCTCGGGCTAGCACAACCAACTCTAACTTTTTAAAATTACTTGAAAAAGGGGTAATTTAGCGTAATTACTCTGACGACCCGACTTTGATCGATGTGATTTAGCATGAAAAAAAAATAACAAACAAATTACTAAATAAAAAAAACCTCTATGCCTTATTTAGAGCGAGGATCACTATAGAAATCTTCTTTATTGTTTTCATGATTAAAATATAAAAATTTGTTGTTATTTTCCTCGATTTTACGTTTTGACCCTAGAGATGTCACTTTTTGGCAAGGAAAGGAAAATTTAGGGTTAGAACTTAGTCTGGGATTGTTTATATAGCTGGTTTTGATTAAAAATCGATTTGATTGAAAATGTCTACTCATTGGTGCGAGCTTTCCAACAAGCCCTTAATTGCTACAATGCGATTTTTAGAACATTGGAAAATCAAATTCGAGGCAAAGTGAAATTTTTTTGGGCTAGCGCCATTTCGGATGACTTTCAATATTTTTTCATCCATTTGACATCTTATGATGAATTTACGCATTTGAAATCTCGATATGTAGATTGTACCCTAATAAAAGAAAATTTGATTAAGAAACTTTTTGGGTAATTTTACGATTTTCAATTTTGTAATGAAAACCGATACAACCTAACATGATGTGCTAAATGAGTTGAAACGTCACTGATTGCTTTGAACTGTTGATCCAACCACTTAAACTGGTCCTCATATATGTCTGATACACTTTAGAAGTGGGAAAATGAATTTCAAAAAATGGTAACTTTTGAAAAAAATAATCAAACTTTTGCGAGGAAATAGCCTTTGATTAGCTATAAAACAAAGTAAGTATGCAAATGTTTTGTATCAGACGTCATGGCACTTCGAAATTTTTCCAATAATATCTTGTTTATCAAAATAAGACTGTTAAAAATTAAGTAAATAGAAGTTGAGGCGAACATTTTTTGGGCGTTAAGACTTTTCCGGCATTTTTTCTAAATTTTTCTCAGGATCCATCGAACGAATTATAATGAAAACGTGCATTTGGCAGAGTTTATATAAGTCAACCTGACTGAGAAAAATTTTTTGAAATCTTTTGTCTGGGTCATTTAACGATCTTAAATTTTATAAAGATTACTGATAGTTTTGGATGTATAGTTCATTAAGGACAATTTTAATCCACGTCAGTTTTTAGATATGAAACAACTAATGATGACTATAATCTGTCTTTGATACAAAATTAAAAATAGTCAGCTGATAGTTGAAACTTCAAAAAAAATTAAATCTGTTTTTGGCTAAAAAAATGCTGGTTAGCTAAAACTTTATTTTCAACAAACGCACTAATGTACAAGGTTTAATCATTAGATGAGGCTATCAAACAACCTCTTATTTGCTATAATTTGGTTGTTAGAACTGCAGAAAATCAAAATAGAGCCTAAAAAGATTTCTGAGAAGAAGTTTTTTTAGTCACTTTTGATTTTCACATCCATTGTGTAAGGCAAAAATTGTGTATGTGCACTCTCCATGTGTGAAAATATTTCGGGATCATTTTTGGTTCGTTTTACGATCTTTCAATTTGGAATGATTACTGAGACAATCGAACGTGTCGTCCAATGAGATGAAACTTCACTGACGAATTTAATCTGGAATTCAAACCAATTAAAAATGATGCTCATATGTGACTAAGAAAAAATTCAAGACAAAATTCGAAAAAAAAATTGTAAATTTTGAAACAAAAAATCAATTTTTGGCAAAGATATAGCCCTTGGTTAGCTAAAAAACCTTTTAACTATGAATTCTTTTTATGTTCCACGTTCAGCTACTAAAAGAGCTTTCCAACAACCCTTGTCATAGCGCGATGATAAAACTTGAGTAAACCCATGTCACCTGAGAAAAACTTTTTGGGGCTACGATTTTAATGCTCTTTTATCATTTTCTCATCATCCATCGGACATGTAGTAATGAAAAGGGGCCAGTATTTTCTCCAGAGTGTGCATTCAAAACTTTCCATTAATTATTTTTGGGTCACTTTCCGCTTTTCAATTTTCTTAAGAATTTTTTGATAGGTTTGATTGTGTCGTTGAACGAGATGAAACTTCACTGGGAGGGAAAATTTTAGATATATATAAACTAAAATTGAACATTAAATGTGCCTGATATAATTTAGAAGTTTCTCAGATAAAGTTTTGACCGCAAAACCGTTTGTGGCTAAGTCGAGATAGCTGAAGTTAGAAAAAGAATACTTTTGCTTAAGTCAAGTTTCGGCGAGGAAATAAGCCTTTTGTGAGCTGAAAGATATTTTTTAGACATTGTTCTGATACTCAACGTTGAACAAGAAGAAAAAACTAAGTTAGATGGCGAGTCAAGTTAGATGAAGTTTGAAAAAAAAGGATAATTTTTACGAAAAATCAATTTTTAGCGAGAAAAAAGCATTTGGTTAGTTATAAACCAATACATAAATGAAGTGTTCTTATCACCCAAATCTTAATCATTAAGAGGAGCATTCGTTGAATGCATTCTTAGCTTTAAAGCGTTTTTTAGAATTGATTAATGCAAAACTGAGCCGCAGACCTTTTTTTGGGAATGGAGCCATTTTTGCTGAACTTTGGTTTTCTCATCCTCAAATGGACCTATAATAATGAAAGTGTACATGTACACTTTTCATAGTGTCTAAAAAACCTCCTGAAATTGAAGTATTAGGTTTAAAAAATTTTGGGTCTGTTTACCATGTGCATTCTTCTAAGGAACACTGATAATTTCGAATTTGTAGTTCAACGAGATGAAAATTCAGTCGGCAAAATTCTGGATATCAAACCATTTATCATGAACACTACTTGTATTGATACAACTTATAGAGCTGTTAGATAACATTTTAGCTAGAAAACCGTTTGTGGCTAAATCAAGTGAGGTGCTCTTTGAAAAAAAATTTCATTTGTTTGAAAAATCGATTTTTTAAATACGATATTCCGCTTTTCAAATTGTCCCCTGCCAAACAAATTAGCATAAATTTTCATGTTTTTAAGCAAAATACTCGTGAGTTTATCTCTTATTGTTCGTTTGATATGTTAGAATTGATTTTCGAGTTGTGTTTAATTTGTTGGTGTTGACAATTTGGGCGAATTTTTTTTTCAATTTAAGGGTTGGGGTCAAATACACATTTTTTTGTTTATCCCTGAAGTTTGCAGTCTGAATTCACATCAATTCAATTCAATTGAAAGGGTTTAAACCGTAACATTAATTTTTACTTCAATTTAGTATCGACTTCAAAAGTTTTTTTGAAGTTTTTTGGGCTAGGTGTCCTTTTTTGGGGTTGGGATCATTTTCCTTTTTTTTCCCAATTTACAGTCGATTTGTTTGTTAAAGATGCTATAAACACTATTTTTTTGTACTTATTCAATCAGGTAACAGAATTGTTGTTGTTTTTAAATGTTTTTGAAGACTTAGCCTTAACACCAAATCAAGTCCTAACCCTGTGTCACTTTTTGAAGTCACTTTTTAGCTACATGAAATAGACCAAAAATGGATGTCACTTTCTGAAATCCCTTTTTGACTAAAAATTTTCTTGCTCATGTCATTTTTTGGGCTAGGACCCAAAAATGATTGGATCAGGACCCTTAAGGTCTTCTTAAAAAGTTAAAAATTATTGTGAAATAAATTAGAAAAACATTAATTTTTTCAAACTTTTTTAAATTTTTTTGTTTGTCGATTTTTTCTTGCAGACAAATTTTGCCGATTACGCGTAAATTGCTAAATCAGTAACTTTCTACGCGTTGTTGAGTTCTCAAATCACTCCACGCACTAAAAATGACTTTTGTCTAAAGAAAATCAAAGAAACTTTTTTTGCTTTTCTTTCATGAATATGGTCGGAACACTGTGCTACTTGCACAACAAACTGCTATTCTTATTAATAAAAAATCATTAGCTGAAATTTTTTTTCGAGAAATAAAAGAAAGATAAATATTTTCAGTAGAAACAAATTGTGATCAGATCAACTTCGAATCAGAGAGAGCTTAGCATATGAAAACACAATAGCTGACCTGAGTTAAAAGCGTGCCCCTATATCCTAAATGTCTGTCTTTTGATAAAAATGACTTTTATCTATTCGTAGTTTTAAACTGTTTTCGAAAGCTATCTGCATCACGAAATACTGCGGATGACAATTTATTGTTCAAGTTCAAACTTTGTATTTCCATCATTAAAATGAACGCAGGGATATGAGGCAAAAAATGAACCGAGAAATTATCGCATACTCAAAGGATTTGTTGCTACTTCTGGGTGAAGTTGGCCAACGGCTTTATGTACGCAGAATTCTTGAAAGTTCGTACTTTATGGAAAGTTAGAGATTCCAACCAAATCCTGAGGCAGTCGGACAAAGAATTTATCACAATTTTGAGTTTATTTCATAATTTCATTTTATCCAGAAAAAAAAAGAATAAGTTTGCCAATCTTTTGATCTAGAACGAAAAAAATTATTCGCCAGCCAGTCTTCTGACGAATTGGAAATAAGTAAAAAACGAATTGAAAATAGGCGATAAAATCTGTTAGTTCATCGATTCGTTGCAATTTTTCGCGCACTCGGCCCTTCATTGCATGCGAATATCCCCCGTGCATCATCGATTGACTACCAGTCCCAAGACTTAATCTTTCACTTAAACTTGAATGCATTATCAAATGATTTAGTAGTGGCATGCATATTGTATTCCCACTTCACGCTTTCAATTGACATTCGAATACCTATTTATCTTCACAACTACCTGGCTAAACACGTTTTAACTGAAAAAATCCTCAGACAAAGTGAATTCAACAATAATTAAAAATAAATCTAACCCATAATAAACTTTATGCACCCTTTCATAGAGGAAAAACGCACGTACGTACAAAACATTATGGATACAAATTGAAAAAAAATCAAAAATTGATGCTATTGATATGCTTTAAGGAATAATGAAATACGAAGCTGACTGCGGAAATTGAAGAATTACTGAACTACTCAGCTTAATTTCAGGTTACTGTCCTTCGAATGAAATATAAGCCACTTAAAATCCAAGTTTGCCATTCTAAGCAGTACACCTTGAAAACAAAGCTCAGTCAGCAGCCACAAAACTGCGCAAGAAACCAAGTCCCAATTAATTGATTATAATCACAAGCTCATATTTATACCATTTTGATTTTTCTGATCAGATCATCTCATATTATTAGCCTATATTGATACTTTAGCTAACGACATTGAAAGACATTAATTCACATCAAAAAATTGATCTAATTAAGTTTTTAATAAACGTTCACTCCCATTTTGAACAGGTTTATGGAAGCGATCGCAACGATCCAGCAGTATCTGTTCCATCTACTGTCGATCAGTTTTGATTGTGATTCATTTTTGTAGGCAATCTGAAGGAGGCTTTCCAGTCGGTCCCTTCAGCTGATGTCACTGCTGTGTGCTGAACAGGACTAGCCAGCCTAGCACGAAGTAGTAAAGACAGATTGGGTAGGAGATTAGTCCCTTCTTGTTGGGTGGTCTGCAGTCTGCCATGAATACTGTTGAGGCTGAAGATACACACAAGCTACTTGCTCATCACGCCGTGATATTTTATTTAAAATTTTTTACAACAATTTTTCCAAATTTTCCGAAGGGTTAACTTATTTAACTTTACAATGGCTAGTCGTCGCCATTTTGAAATCAAAATCTTTTTATTTTCAATTCAAATCTTGGAAAAACGATCATAAAAAAGAGAAACTTTTAAAAATAGAGCACTTACCGTATATAGACCAGGAAAAAGCGCCGATGACAAAAATGAGTCTGATTAGAAAGGACCAGGAGAGTATGCCGACGCCTTCTGAAGTCAACAACATCACTACCCTACATGCAGCGAGGGAGAAAAAGAGCGGAAGCACACAGTATCCCAATACACAGAGGGACTGGAAGAAGGAGATGGATCCTCCTAGGAGCTGTGTGTTGGCGGTGACAACTATAGATCCAACAGACACTAGGACAAAGACAGTAACGAACTCGCTGCCATCTTCATGCGAGGAGTCTTTGGATCCATTGTTGGGCAACAACCTGAATAGATCACAGAGACATATGCGTAACTGAAAACTTTAATGAGCTTACTCACCCTGATATCCAATGAAATCAGTCAAATCTGAGAAAACTTGATCTGCATTTTAGCGCGAGCTTGGCTTGTTTACAATTGGACACACACGACTAACCATTACGATTTCCCATCTGAGGTAAAAAAAAAATCTGGCTGGTAAATTTATTATAAATTACTCACAAGGCCAAACAGACGTAGAGGAACAACGGTCCCCACAAATCCCCTAAAACACATGATTTGTAGCATTGAAAGTATTCCACTTAACATAACAGACACAAACGCAATAGAACTTACATTCTCGTAGCAACATTTTGTCCTGTCTAGGCACGAGAGCAGCCAAGAATTTGTGACCAACTCGTTTAGCATCTCTGAGCTAAAAGGTACAACAAGTTAACAACCTTGGGCGACACTTCGAAAGAAGTAGTACCGGTTGCAATACCCTTGCTAATTGCAAGCGTAATAATCAATTAAATAATGAACAAATGCAACAAATTTGACCCGACCACTCAATAAGTTGGAACGAAATACGGCAGAGGTTGTATTTATCAGCGTTATTTCAGGTACATTAAGGATCACCCTTAAGGTTCAAGCTAAGTACCAGATTTAAGCTCTTTTAGTCCTGATTTCAACACAGAAACGAAGCAGAATTTGGCATCAATCGCGATACAGAAAGAAGAAAACTAAAAATGACCATGAACCTCAAAACAAAATCAAAATCTGTTTTCTCAAAATTTCGCTGTAAAGTTAGATCATTAAATTCCATTTTCGAAATTAGAAGTCGGTCACATTAGAAGTCGATCATTTTAGCTGTTTGGTAGTGGAGTTTTCGTTCCTTTTAATAAAGGAAATGATCTGAACTTAAAATGAAATCAAAAGTCAAATCGCGAAAAAAAATCAAAAAAAGAGCGAAAACAATTTTTTGACTTTTACTGAAAAAAAACCAAAAAATATCACCAAGACCTATATAAAGACTACGTTCACTACGTTCAATACGCTTAAAAAATCTTGTAACTCAATTATCTTCACCAATGGGGATTTAGATAGTAATCGCATTGATAGAAGAAAGCTGAACCTCTGAAAAGAATCGGGATACGTACGGGAACTAAGCCCACAAAAATGAACAGACGGACGATAGTCCGAAAAAGCAAAAAATTTCTAGTTAGCAAAAAAAACACGTCCCGGCAGGATTAGAACCATAAGCCTTTGTCGTCTTAAGCAAGTGTCAGCTCTGCACCAGATGCGCTGAAAGGTAGATTGAATTTGGTATAAGGCAACTTGAAAAATTTTCACGAGCGAAAACTTGAGAACAAATTTATTTAAGGGAAAAAGTTTAGTGCCGGGTTGCAACATTCTAATTAATCGCAAGGGTAACTGAGCATGCAGGTTGTGATAACAACCGGCAACCAAATTTTTTGACACCGACTGTGTCAGCTAATCAGAAGCGATGAGTTTTGCCAGCACGATATAAGTCGCAGACCGGAGATAAGAATATCCGGACAGCTGGTTGCTGTACAACTAGCACAGACTGATCCGACTATATTCTTAAGTTTAAAAAAATTCACGTTCTTTTAAGTTAGTGTTGTTTTTGTACGTGGTAAGATGAAAGGATCTGACGAAAATCTATAAGTAAGGCAGATTCGACAATCACGCTTTCTCGCTAGAGAAAAGATTAAAACTCAAAAACTTCAAACGATTTTTTTCGACACTGGGACCTTTTGTTGAAATCACTCAACCCATTACGATGATTATTTGTGACACATGTTTTTGGCTGAAATCGAAAATAAGTCTGCTCGCTCAACTTATTCGCTCGAAAAAAGACCAAAAATCAAAAATTTCAAATGAGTTTTTCTCAACACTGAAAACAAAATTCAATATTTTTTTTTGATGTCGATCAAATCACGACTGAAAGGGCTTTAATATGATATATCATTCAATTCATTCCGATGATTGTTTTTGCTACCTGATTTTGCGTGGAAAACTAAAACATCCGAGTACATAGTTCCTCGCCGTTTTCAATGGTAGGAAGAAGTGCTCAATTACAATACTTGCTAATCGCGAATGTATAAAAACAGTGTCGAGAAAAGGCCTCAATGTTTAGACCTTCTGACTAGCAAAAGAGGAGAGGGGGTATGTGCTCAAGGAAGATTCATCACAATATGACAATTTTTCTCCAACTATCTACTTATGAGGGCAAAAACATAAAATTGCTTTTTAAAAAACACTAAATGGGCAGTGGGAGCGCATTAAACTAAGCTGCAAGATTTGATAATAGAAGCAAAAATATGAAAAATTGTCATATTGTGATGACTATTACCAAATCTTGCAGCTTAGTTAAATGCGCTCCCACTGCCCATTTAGTGTTTTTTAAAAAGCAATTTTATGTTTTTGCCCTCATAAGTAGATAGTTGGAGACAAAGGCGCGTAAAAAAAACTTTTGAGGACGACCGAATAAAAATGGAGTAAATTAAATCTTACTAAATCGTACTACCCTCTCCGTTAGACAACTAGTATCCCCCATCAAACAACTATTATCCCCAATAAAAAAACTAAAACCCCCCATCAACCTGTCTTCCTCAAACAAATTACTGGAAATCAGACTTCCTATCAAAATACATATCAAAAATCTACATACTTTCCACGATTGAGCTCGCATTAACCTTTGCCTTATTGCCAACAGGGCAATCGTCTTTAAGCGTCGTATGTCCTGAACGACCACACCAAAAAAATTGATGCTTATCTGAGATGGGGGAAGCAAAAGAGCCGACTGAAAACAAACTTACAACTGTGTCCACTATACTTTCGTCTAGTGTTGAAAAATGGGCAGATGACTGGTTGCTGTAGGATGACATGGTATTTGCGTTCTTCGGGTCTCTATTTGTGTCCCCATATCCATACGAGACAGACACTCCTGCCCCTCCCCCGTCCATCTGGCCATGGATGGGCACACCACTCACACTATCTTCCTCCTGAAAACAGCGAAGGATTCAAATTTCACATACCATGATTTCGTTTAATCATAGAGGAAGGAAAATCAGAATAACAGATATAACTTTAAAAATACTTTTGAGACTTGAAAAATACCTCCATTAGTCATGCATGTATATTATCATATGCAATTAATGTCAACGAATGCGTATTTTGGACATAATTCATCTAATGAACGAATACACAGAGGTGAAGAGGAGCTTCGCGCTACTTGCGATAGAACATAAACTTTAAAAACCAAGTCGAAAACAAGGACAGCCGGTTACTGCGCAATAGCACAGAATATTCCGACCACTGTCTTAAAAAACACAAACAAAAGATTTTTTTTCTCTAAAGATGGTGCCGTTTTTTTCTGCATGTTGTGATCGAAAGATCTTTAACTTGGGCATCCTTGAGAGTCATAGTAAAATAGATCAATTGGAAAGCAGTTTTTGAAAATTGCGCTAAAAGCTCCAAAAATTACCTTTACTTGAGTAAAACTAAGTTTTCACGACTTAAATTAAGCTTAAATCAGCTATTGTAAGCCTACACGGTCACCTTATTGGCAAATGATTTGAGAGTAGTTTAAAAAAACTTAAAATTCTTAAAAACGATTTTAAGTACAATAAAATTACTTTCCGAAATCCACATATATTTTCTAAAAAAAGTAGGTGGTGACCGCTAAAATAGAGGAGATTCCTAAAACCAGGCTTCTCGATTGAACATTTAACTTGAGAATTGGGACGGTAGTTAAAATTTTTACTTAAAGAAATTGCGCGCAGCCAAAAAAAAGGTACAGTTTCAATATCCTGTTCTTTCGACTAAACCTATGATAATAAATTTGGCAGGATAGTTATCGAGAAAAGCCCTAAAAACGGTCGACAAATCAAAAATTTGACATTTCCGATTATCATAACTTTTTGTTGAGCAAAAACTGCGCTTAGCAGCTTTAGCAAAAACATTCACGCAACCTGTCATTTCGAACCCAAATACTCAGATTTGGAGATTTGGGAGGGTAGTTCGCGAAAAAGCCCCGAAAACAGTCAAAACATCAAAATTTTGACTTTTCCGATGGCCATAACTTTTTGTGTGAAAACAGTTGGGCGTAGTCGCGCATGCAAAGGAGCTTCCCACCACTCTTTCTTTGGATTGAACACTGAATATGGGTGCGTAATTTTCGAGAAAATTCAAAAAGTTAGAAAACAGTCAAAAAATCAAAAATTTTACTTCTCCGAGGGCTATAACACTACGTGAGAAAAAAATTCGGTGGCCGAAACCCGTTACACTCATTGAAACAAAAAAACTCAGATTTGGATGGTAGTTTTTGGCGATTCTCCTGGGCCAAGAAAGAAGGAACCTGGAACTTGTTAAGATTCAATAATAAAGCAAGTTGAAAATTTGTAAGAAACGTAGTTTGCGGGAAAAAACTCTAAGAAAACCTTCAAAAATTGTTTTTGTCATAAAAAATTACAAATTGCAAAAAAAAGAGCCCAAAATGTCTGAAAAAAATGACCTGACCCATTAGAAACTTTACATGGAGTGCTAGAAAGAAGCCGAACTTTTAAAAAGTCGTTTCCGTGGGGAAATAAGCCCGCAAAAATAAGCAGACAGACAAAAATCTAAACTAGCCGAAAATTTTCAGTTAGCAAAAAAACAAGTCCCGACCCGAATCGAACTCCCGCGCTTTCAGCTCAAGCATGGGAGTTACAGCATGCTTGAGTAGAAATTTGAACCGTCAAAAAATCGGGCTACGGGGACTAAGCCCACAAAAATAAACAGACGAACGATAGTTCGAAAAAACAAAACTAAAATTTGCAAAAAAAAAACAGGTCCCGATCAGATTCGAACCAAAAGCCTTTGTCATCTCGAGCAGATGTGTTGCCTCTACGCCAGATGACTGATTGAATTTATAATGAAGAAAGTATATGAGTGTGTCCTAGGATCCAAGAGATGAGTCCTGAGAACAAAGTTATTTACGGGAAAAACAAAGTCAAGTGTTATCGCAAGGGTAATTACTATTCAAGAAAAAAAACACAATTAATTTGAAAGATGCAAAAATTAAAGACAAGGTCTACCACGTAGATCCTCAATATTTTCGCTATATTTGATACAGGCGAGCAGATCATTTTTTGGAAAATGATTATCGCCGAAAAGCTGCCATATATTCTAAAACTTCGGATACTTTCACCAAAAAATACAACTTGAAAAAGACATTGCACTCAAAATCCGATCATTAGTCTTAAAAGTCAGTGATCTGGCAACTAAGCCGATAAAACATAAGCAGAAAAGCGATAAGCCGATAATTTTTTTTGAAACATAAAACTTTCACATTGAAAAATACTGGCCAGAAGCGAAACTAGACCCATAGCCGTATTAAGCGTAGCCGTTACTTTCAGGCCATGTGGGTCGGAACTGCCAAAAAGAATTTTTTTTATTAAGAAATAATATTTTTATCAATCAAGCTGTCAAATTATTTCAATGAGTTCGACATACTATTTGTTAACCTCTTAAAAAACTCATTCTGATTTGAATACGACTGCTTTTTGCGAGCGTAATAAACACAGTATGTCTATCAAAAAATGACAACAAAATGCGTGATAAAGACTAACAGGCGAAAAATACTAAATTTCAATTTTTTTTTCAAGTTTTCGTCTGAGAGTTTGCGTTGTCAGAGAGTTTGCTTTGAAAGATTCGAAACATATTGTCAGAGTTGAATCACAACAACTGATATGATTGGCAACTAATAGAAAAAATTGGTTAAAAAACGGACAGATCTAAAGCCGACATCGAATAAGCTGAAAATTGCCAAAAGATATTGACAGCTCTAAGAAAAACTCAGATAGCCAGATTTTGCTAGTACCGCCTACACAGCAAGCACTCACGCGTCCAATATAAGTATCATATGTGGGTAGTGCCATTTCCAATTTTCGACCCTTCTGTAAACAAAGTTATTGATGGGAAAAGTCTAGTACACGGTTGTTACACTCTTACTACCCACAAGGATAATTACATAAAAATATTGCATTGCAAAAAACGGAAGCATTGTAAATAAAATTAAAACCAACATTTTTCCAGGATTGAACTATTTTTTCACATGTTTATGGTCAAACAAAGAGCCAAAATTTCTGACTGAAAAAAAAATCGGCTCAAATCCAGAAAATGTATTAAAAAACTTGAACCAATTAAAATACACAAAGGAGAAGCGGCACTTCGCAATACTTGCGATGCAAAAAACACATTGCGCTAGAAAATTGAAGAAAAAACTATTTGTGAAGTCAAAAAGAATTCTGAAAAAATGTATTGGAAAAAATTATTTCAAGAAAAACTGAAAAACTTGAAGTTCATGAACAGTCCTTAAAAATGGAAATCATTTACCGAGCGGCAACAAAGGCGACAAATTAAGGCGAAACCCATATAGCCTAAAATAAAATGTTGTCATGAAAAAGTTCATTAAATTTAAAAGTCGCATCCAAACTGAATTACATAATCCCGAACTAAGTTAACAAGGTCGATATAAGTTGACTAAGTCGATATAGTATAAACTGAACCTGTTTGAATATTTGAAAAAAAAGCAAAATCAGACATGTTAAATTTACAAAATCACGACGTTTCAGTAAGAAAAAAACTGTTTAAATCGGAGCAAAACTCATGTTTTAAAAACTAAACCAATAAAAACCCTACAGGATAAAACAATGGCGTTTAAAAAAACGGAAAATGAACCGACAAACTAGCATGAAAAGCAGGAACCCGAAAAAATTTAAAACTTTTTTGAGAATATAATTACAACCTTAAACTGGCTTGAAATAATTACTAGCTAAGCCATCCTCTAGAAGTGAATAAAAAAATTGTTTAGAACCCGATTGCAAAGTACCCGGGAAAACAAAGTCTAGCACCCGATTGCAATAAAACAAAATGATAGCCGTTTACTGCGCAAGCAGCACAAAATGTTCCGACTTTTCTCAGAAAATAAAATAACCATAAAGCTTTTCGTGTTTTTTCCGAATTTCGAAGAAAATGTATTAATAATGATTGCTCCAGTTTTTTTATTCAGTCAAAATTTCAATTCTTTTTTGCAGAACAGTTTAAGTTTTTGATTCTGAAAATGGCGTTAAACAACTCAAAACACTCCAACATACTCAAGTTAGACATAAATGAGGTACTGTAAACGGCCTGATTAAGCATAAATAAGCATGCTCACTCGCTTCACTCGCTCTAAGTTGAACGAAAAATCAAAATTTCAAACTGGTTTTTCTCGACACGAAAAAATTATTGGACAACTTTCAACGTCGCTCGAATCACGACTGAAAGGGTTTTAATGTGATACATAACTCAACCCAATCCAATGATTAATTGTGAGACCTGATTTTGCGTGAAAAATACAAAAAAAAACAATGATAGCCGGTTGCTGTGCAAGTAGCACGAGAATTTTCCGACCACATTCATAAAAACTAAACAAAAATTTCTTCAAATTAGTGTCGTTTTTTGTACGTGATGTGATGAGAAAACTATACACACGCGTAAAAGTTAGTCAATTAGTCATAATCGATAACAGTTGTCGACAAAAATGAACAAAACACATAAAATTGGAAAAACCAAAAAAAATTGTTATTTTTTTGCACATTAAAACTTTTATTTTTTTTAAAAAACATTATTTTCTAAGGAAGTGCTAAATCAAGCTTCCACAACTATTTTTTTAAGTAAAATCAGGTGTTTTAATCTCAATTGACCATTTTCCATCAACTGTTATAGATAACCGACGTAACTCGATCGCTTTTCTCGCTCAAAATTAGACCCAACATCAAAAATTTTAGACACTGAGAAATTGAAATTGTTTCCAAATTTTTCAAATGTCGTTCGAACCACGACTGAAAGGGCTTTTTTATGATACATCACTCAACCCAGTCCGAAAATATCTCAGCGGACCACGACTCACTCAGTGCGTCCCGTAGCTATCCTAGCCATGCCGAGAATGAGCTGCACACTCTTGCTACCTGATCACTTAAAGGGAGCGTGTAGTGCGTACGACATCCCACCTTACGTGATCAGCTTGGATCCTATAGGGGCACCACTCCTATTCAATCCCACTCGTTAGCCCTTGATCATCATAGATAACAATCCACAGGGATAACTTAAAAAGGTCTCTGGCTTAGACCGATGAGCATAGCTCATCATGCACTACTTGAGCAGGAATCTCGTATCACTAGCTTTCTTTCTCCTACTAACTGACAGCACCACAAGTCAGCTTTTGGGTCCATACTAACCGATAAAAACAAGACCCTTTAACAATCGCCAGTAACTATAGAACAAAGCTACTGCTTTGAGGGAAGAGTGTCCCTAACACTCAATTTAACATAAGAGTTTTCACACGACTATGCAAGCATAGACCTTCGCCGAACTCGCAGCCGTACAAGATGTCAACTTAGACGGAAGGAAAACCTGCCACTGGTTAGACCAATGGCCAAGAGCGGCACACGCAATACAAAGATGTCGAGTGACCCCCAAGGTTTACGTTTGCCGAAGCAACACTCACCAAGGTTAGCACTTAAGTCTCTGAGCACTGGGCAATGCGGCGTGTGACGTTTGCAGAAAAGGCCTCGTTTGATGAACCGTCGGTGACATACTGTAACTCCAGAACCAGTACATCGCGCAGGCAGATAGGAAGTACAAATACCTACCCAACAGTCCAAAAGCTCAGACCAATTACCCAGGATACACCGGGGTAGATCCGATTAATGCGGACCACACCGCAAAGGACTACGATTATTATTTTTTGCACCTGATTTTACGTGGAAATAAAAATTAAACACATCCAAATACTAAGTTCCTCCCCATTTTCAATGTCGGAACAAAAAACTCAAACACGCCCGAATACAAAGTTCCTCTACATTTTTCACATGGTCGGAGCAATGACTGCTCTGAGCTACTAGTTTCAGTTTAATCCAGTGTAGAATGAAAGTAGTTGAGAGAAATACTTTTATCTTTGATGATGGCTTTGTACGCAATTTACTTTACTTAGTTTAACTCTTTTTGAAAGAATATTCTGATCACACACGACGATAATTGTACAGCACTCACATTAAGGTCCAAACTGACTTCTATATTTGGTTCGCCAGACATTCAAATATCTGAAAAAAGTAATAGAAAACTTTTGAGATGAAATTGAGTTTCAAGAAACGATTATGTTCTTATACAACCTAAAGAATAGAGATTGAAAATTGTATTTCCATGAAAGCAGAAATATAAAACCTCGTAAGGATAAATAAACGGTATTTTCATTTATTATTTGCAATCGCTGAAGATAAAGCAGCTCATTGACAAGTGGCTCGTAAGCGTTTTTTCGGCAATTTGAAATCCAGTTTTCCACCGCATTTTTCAAGCTTACAACAAATAAACAATCTAGTACTAATGTTGAACAAATGCACAAAAAATGTCAAAATTGATTCAACTTTTGCAACACAAAAACCAGGCAATCAAGTTTCGAGATGACCACGACCAGTCGCAGATAGAAAGAGGTAATTTGTAATTCTAGATTCCCAGTAGTTCAATTGCACACCTTTATTCCGTCGGCTTTCATTCAGAAAGGTAGTCCCCTCGTAAAAAAAACCCGTGAACAATTTTAACATAATAACTTGAAACTTTGGATTCGGTGGACTTGTTCAGCCTTTTGCTTCTTTGTATAGACGTCTTTTTCAGCAAAAGATTACACCTTCTTTGTTAGAAGCATGAACAATATCTTCAGTCAATGAGCTGGCGATTATTCAGGCAAAAATAAGATTGTAATTATCTAAGATACAATCAGTAACTTCTGAGTTGGCGCACAATAGTAATAATATAAAGACAATCATGCATGAAAATAAAGATTTAATTTGTTATCAAGATTAGAACAGTTCAAAATACTGCTGAAACTTTCAAGCACCAGGACAAATTTTCGGTTCCTTCTTACCATGGAAAAGAACTGGAGAATCCATTTATGCTGACCATACTTTACAAAATCAAACTCATAATATCAATCGCCATTTTTCGCAAGTATCTCTTTGCTGCAATCTGAAAAACGTCGGCTAAATATAGTTGCACAATTTTACTTTAATCTATCGATTCTCCATTTCTTAGATTCATAAATCGTTGCTTATAAAACCATAGGTTCAACACTAACTATCTAACTGATTGACGAAGCACAATACTCTAGGCATGAAGGCTGGGCATTCAAATTGAAAAACAAAAACATTTAAATATTGAAACTGTTTCAATAAATTAGCGGACTCTTCTCTTCGCCCATCGAATCGAATCTTGGTCTGCTAATAAGACAACTCCCAAAATCTTCCGGTCAAGGGTTTTTTTGCTACATGCGTAATTAGTTTCCAAATACTGCTTTGGCTTCCAGATTGCAAATTCACTTTTAAGTTCATTCTAGAATATTCCATTTGTGACGTATTGAAACTTGTCGTAAACTGCTGTAGATAAGGAGTGATAACTTTGCTCTATCAAACCATCCAACGTCATCTGCAGTTGCTGTTCAGTCTTGTTGATATGAAACCTGTCTCTAAGGGCTTTCACAGCAGAAGCCCCATTACGAGTGAATGGATTAGTATTACCCAAGGTCATGACATCGAAAATCATTACTAATCGTTCCACGTGTTTCCGCGAAGCAAGCAAGCCTTTTAACATTAGTAGTTTGTAATACGTGAACATATTGGACTCAATTCCTTCGGATCCTCCGATAATTTCAACATATTCTTGGGTTAATTTGAAAGCCGAAGACTCGAAACCCATGTTTTTCGGAGACATATTCAGAACGAACCCATAATCAATGTGTATAATATGTCCTTCGTTGTCAAGCAGTATATTTCCATTATGGCGATCTTTAACTTGAAGCAGGTAACAGATTAAAGAATAAGCAGCGACACTTCGCACAAAATTTAGCTGAGCTGTCAGGAAAGTTTCCGAGTAGACTTCGCCGAACTCTTTTCGAAAGTAATCCGGCAAAGTGTGATGTTGCTTCTTGATTTGGTGCAGAGAAACTGTATTCATCAAGGGTTCTATAAAACCAGAGTCCGGCCCTGTAACTAAAACGTTAACCGGTGACACTTTCAATTCTACCTTATTCTCGAGCCAGATTGATTGAAGTGCTGATATGAATTGAGAACAAAGCAACTCTAATCTGAGGTCATCGCCGACTTTGATAATCATCGGGATCAGTTTCCAGGTTTCGTTGTCCCCGTAGGGCGAGGATTCTCGGATTCTTTTGACCTTGGCCTCCCAGGGTTCTTTTAAGGCGGCTGCAGATGGATCATCTGGGTCACTTTTGAAGGTTCCATTGCTATTGGATGAATTTTGACTTAGCCGCCTGCGAATATCACTCGCGCTGACAAAGTTCGGTTCTTTGCTGTCCGAACTGGCAATGCTGTCATGTGAAAACAACGAAGCCGTTTCGTATCCGTTGTGGTAATGTACGCCAGTTCCGTTACCATTGACAACCGTATGCTGGACACTTAATCCAAGATCTCCGACATAAAAGTTGCCTTCCTGGTCATCATCGTCACCGCATACTTGCGACAGGTCACTGCCGTTTATTGTAATCGATGTTGAGCACGAGTGATTAAAGACTGGCGGTGACTGAAAAGCAGATGATACATGGGGTACTTGTTGAAGTGAGGCATCCGAAATGTTATGAGGGGGTGATGATTCGGTTTCAATGGCACCGTTTAGTAACCCATTGTTGCTACCATTACTGCTGCAATCAATTATGTTCTCAACTGACTTGGTAGTTCGGAGAGAATTTTCCAATCTCTTTGCAGGAATCGGAGCTGTAAACTTATCACTACATTCGATTACTTCAAAGTAAATCATGTAAGGTGCTTTTTCTTTGGAGTTCAGGACAAATGCCGAATTTTGCGGGATGCGAACCACATGATGATTCTTGCTGTAGGAAGAATTTGGGATCCAAACTCTAGCAGGAAGATTCATATTTATATTTGCCAAATCTGCAAATAAATGGTTTGTTTTCTGGTCTCTGGTTTGCCATTTTTGGATCTTTTTACTGATAGCCAGAAGTTGATTAATAAACTCCAATTCTCCCGATAACCGAGGCGCTCCACATTTGCATTCAGTGTCCTCTCCTTTCAGATCATTGATTATACTCTGAGTTCCATCAAAACAGCGACAACCAGAACTAAACGCACAACCAGAACTAAGATCCCCTAATTTAGGACAAAGTGAGGTTTGCGAAGAGTATACATCGCCAAGATTTTGTGGAGCATCTGATTTGGACCGGTGGTGCCCGAGGCTTTTAACTTCCCCAGTTGCAGAACTTTTCCCTGGAACTTCAGATAGTTTGCTATGACAGTTTGCTTCTGTTGGTGTTGGGGCATGGGGTTGAACTCTTACTGTTTTCAACTTGAATTCTTCGTCTAAAATTTGCTTCCTTAACTTAGCTCCTCTGGACAGTTTCTTTTTTGGATTGCTAGTGTCAGGGATTAAGGCACCAAGCAGCCAGGCTGATGTGAGCGAAAAATCTACAGATGATGTGCAGCGCGCTTTGATGTACTTTTCGACCGAACTGGCGACCTGGGATACATTACAGTAAAGGTTCATTAGTTGCGGAAGGTACATGTCCATTTCAACGTCATTGAACTCGAAGATTCGATTGCCGATGTAGTCAAGTACACCTTGTTCTTTGGAAGAGAAAAGGTATGAAATAGCCAGACTTGCGTCGAACACTTCGGAGCTAAAAAGTCGGATCAGCGAGTCGTCATTTGTCGATTTGCGTTTGTTGAAAAAGAGGGAAGGTAGAAACTTGTTTGAAGCTCTTCGTTCTGAGATCATTGCCGTACCAGCGTTCAGTTGGTCTTTCTTTTTGTCCTTGTCCTTTTCTTTGCTCTTCGATCTTGCGGGTCCTTGTGAAAACTCGCCACTTTCTCCACTCAGCGAGAGGTCATTTAAGTTAGCACCAGGCGTTGTTGCATCCCCTCCTTCCGGTCCATTGTCAACGGAAGAGGTAGCCGTCGTTCCATTTGGCAGATTCTGTTCAGAAGTTGCTGGACAGTTTAGTTGATTGCGTCTGTTGTGGTTAGCATCTAGACTTTCTCGACGAGGCCGCGGCTCTGCAATTACGACGACCTCTTGTTCTGGAACAGGACTAAGAAGGTTTCGACGGAAATTTGATATGTCGGCCATGAAGCATTATTCTCTGAAAAATTATTCATGTTTATTTAGTTAAATATTGCGAAGTGTCCACAACATTTTCCAAATAATTTCAGCAGACAACTAACGTTTCTAGAACAGTTTACATTATTTCCAGACTAGCGTAAATGAAACAGCAGAAAAGCATTTAGCTAGTTAGCGAATTAATAATTCAAAGAAGTTTTGAGACAATATCTTCTATAACATCCTCTTGTTGCAGACCTGTTAACCGTGACAATTCTTTGCCATTATCAAATGTAATCAATGTTGGTACAGCATTTATCTTAAACTCAGTTACAAGCTTCTCATTATCAGGATTGTCTATATCAAGGATCGCAATTTTTATTCTATCAGCGAACTTCTTTTCAGTTTCAAGTAGACGAGGAGTCAGCAACTTACACGGTCCACACCAATCTGCCTTGAAATCTACGATAACAGGCATCGATGATTTCCTTACTTCGCTTTCAAAATCAGACACGCTTCGCACATAAGATACAATACATCTTTTAGTTGATTTCCTTAGACTGCTCGATATCAAAGAGCGTGAATAAGAAATCATTTCTATCTGTAACCAAGTCACAAAAAGATGAAGAAAAACGAAATTAGGAAAAGAAAAGGATGGCTATTATTTGAGATCTACCAGAACATAGCTGACCTGAACCAACGTGACGGCTGATTATTGAATAATCATAAATTCCCAGATGAGGCGAAGAGAAGAACAATTTATGATTGACATTTATTCGATCAAATTAACCTAACTTGAGAAAACTGGATCAACAGGTTAAACTTTTATTTCGCTGGGAAATCTGATAATTAATTTACATTTTCGAAATTAGAAATTGATCACAATTTTTCGCGCTATTTCAGCTTTCGTAATTGGAGAGTGAATTTTCTCGACATTCTAGAAAAAGAACATAAATTGAACAAGAAGGGCACATATACCTAAGGCCATTCATATGTGCATTTATAAGTATAAATGCAGTTCTTTTGTTATTAGAGCATTTATGACTTTTTCCTGAAAAAAAACAAACAAAAAAATCACCGAGACCTATATAAGAGTCTTCAATACGTTCATTACTCTTAATAGTGCGTTTTCAGATAAAATACAAGCTGAGGGGTAGCAGTTAGTGACCCCATGTTTGTCTTATTCTGTTACATTAACTCATCATTTGCTGTTCTGGACATCTCGTCGACGTCAGCTTCATCATACAAACGACAAAAAAACGCAGACTAGTTCTTTCCTTTTACCTTCTTTTTTTCCTATTCGGCTATTTACCTTTATGAAAAATGATTTGTATTGCTGGTGCGAGTTTGCGCATTTACGCTGCTAATTCTCTTGGCAAATCTCAGCTTGATAAAATTACGGATCTGGTTTATTGTGAGCCTGGATTTAGTTTTAACTATCACTCAACATACCATCAAACGAAAATTTTCAACACAGAAGCGTAGCGAAGCTTCGCACAACTTACGATACAACAAACATAAAAAATTGGAAAAAAAATGAATAAAAGTTGAATCTGCCAAAATTTTAATGTATGTCTCGATAGTTGTAGTCCAGGCCCCGTCAATGCATTCGTTTCAGATCGCTGCATTACTTCTGCAATTGTCCATCGCGCAGTCATATGCAAGCTTCCATGTGCATTTGTTTCTTTCGTCATACAGCTCAAATTCCATCCAGAATGATATAAGTTCAATCTGGTGTCCGGAAAATAAGACGACAGCTTTTGGGACGACAGCCGCTTTCCATGGGGTTCAAGACGACGCTACACAAACTCGCCTATTGTATTACATTTATAGCTTTAACTCGATCAGTTCAATTTATCTGTATTAACTCTCATTTGTCGCCTTAATGACGTGTCACCTCAATGTCGTGTCGTCTTGTTATGGTCTTATTTACCTAGCACCGTTGATTCTAGGCAACCATTCCAGACATTTGAATAAAAAATTAACGAAACAAAACTTACGAAGCCGTAAAAACTTTGAGCATACAGTTGAACGAAAAAAAAATTTTAAAAAATTAAACATTTCAAGCCCCTCCTCTGCGCCATTGTTTAATGCAATAGAGATAAACCACACTTTAATTCCAACGAATTACGAACACTTGACGCCACGGTTTTTCATATCTGAATCTGCAAGCCTACTTCATAAGATCAAACAAACAAGAAAATGTGATGTTAAAAATTACGGGCAGATCTCCCTGCTCCTAGTAATACACAAGAACTTCGAACGAAGCCTCCTTATTTATTTGCAAAGATATCTCCAATCAATGCTCCACGATTCAGATTATGGGTTTAGCAAGGGCCGATCATGCATCATGTCATAGCAATCATATACGCAGACTACGAAAAAGCCTTTGAAAATTTTGATCACAGTAAGCTGTAACGAAACAATCTGAGTTAGGCATCAGGCGACAGATAATCAAGCTAATAGAATCATACCTGTCAACTAGAACAAGGAGTAAGAATTGGAGGTGAATTTTCTCAGACTTCATATCCCGAGTGAACGGAGAGTTCCTCAGACTTCATATCCCGAGTGAGCGGACAGCTGAACTCCCTTTAGGAATCAAATCTCAGTCAAACAACGCGGAGATGATGACTTCTAAACAGCACACAGACAACGACGAAGATATGACTTTGAAATATGGATCAGCAATATCTAAACGAGTCCAGTGTTTTAACGGTATTCATGTAACCACACATGTGGCATACCCCAACTATTCTGCAGGGCGACAAGGGCACTGGGCATGATACTAACGGAAAACTCAATCAACCATCATATTCTACGGAGATGAAGTACTGGAAAGCAACGGCAACCAAGAAACAAACCAAAACGAAGCTAGCCCCACAAAATCCCGCAGACGACGGCGTTGCGCGTAGCTACAACAACAACAGCAACAACAACCTCTGAATGAGAGGAATTGCTCGCACATATCTATGTCAGACTCGAAAAACGTTTTCTTTTCTGGTACAACAAAAGACAAAAAAAGAACGATGTCATGTAATTGTTTTATATGATGTTTATAAGATGTTGTCTTTCAGATAACTATTGAGTTAAAGCTTCTCCCCAAGCCGTGTTTTCCTCTACACAACAATTTAACTCAATAGTGTCAATGAAGTTCAAACCTCCGCAGCTGCCCACCAATCCCACACCAGAGCAGTGGCGATGGTGGAAGCGCATCTTCATCGACGGGCTAGCCATCAACGAGGTGGTTGAGAATACCCACAAACTCACGTTCCTCAGGTCTCACGCCGGCTCGGAACTCTATCCCTTGCTACAAAACGCGGAGACCTTCGACGCCGCCATGGATATCCTGGACGCGCAGTTCGAGAAACCGACACATTTGCGAGGCATGAGCTGCTATCCTGCCGGCAGAAGGAAGGCGAAAGCATTCCTGACTTTATCAAGCGACTAAAGATTCTCGTCGAGCTCTGTGAGTGCAAACCCCTTACAGCATATGTACATAAACAACTGTTGCTTAGAGACGCGCTTGTTTCCGGATTGAGGTCCGATCATGTCCGAGCGAGGTTCCTCGAACTCGACGACACCAAATCTGTCGACGATTGCATAGCACTCGCTAATGCAGTAGAGCTCTCAACTGATTATTCCAGGTCATTCCGCGCTGAAACCTCGGAACAATCAAACTCCGTTTCGGCTGTCTAGCCTGAACAGGTTGCAGGGGCGATTGCACAGAAGTACCCACGAAATAGCCGAAACAAAAGCCAAAATAACGCGTCACATTCAAACAACTCAAACTGTGGGTACTGCGGTTTGCGTTTTCACATACGCAGCAAGTGCCCGGCAAAGCGCGACACGTGCCATAAGTGCCAGAAGTTGGGGCATTGGGCCACTGTTTGTCGTGCAAGTAATCCAACTACAGCCGCGTTGCAGGGTGAGGAATCCGAAGGATCCCTAGCATCCGTCCTCTGTGCATTGTCTCCCAACACGGAGGCGAAACAGACCGTTTATGAGAAGGTACTGATTGGTGGCGTTCATCAAGCACTTGCACTGATTGACCCTGGAGCAACCGATTGCTATATCATGTTCAAGCTCGCACGGAAATTTGAATTGCCTATAACCGACGTTGAGTCATCTACCAAACTAGCAAACGGCGACAAATTGAATGTGCTTGGCTTCATCGACACACAAATCACAATAAAGGCAGAATCTTATTGTTGTCGCTTACACGTTGTTGAGTCGTTAATTGCCGATTTGATCATCGGAATGGACGTTGTTGCTAGCCATCAATCGGTTTATCTTGACCTCGGCGGTCCAAAACCACCTATCACTTTCCACCTGGGAGGACGTGATACCGAGATTACTCCCCCAATAAGCTTAGAACGAGATCATTGTACGAAAGCATGTTGCAGCATGTTCCCAATTATGACAACCGAGCCTCCAGCACTATTTCCTGACAAGCTACTGACCGTTAAGCCGATTTCTTCCAAGTCTCGACGAGTTTCTGCTGACAACGCGCTATTCATGAAAACTGAAGTAAAGAGGCTTCTGGATCTCGGAATAATTGAGCTGTCTGTTTCACCTTGGCGGGCTCAGGCCTTCGTTGTCAAGGGACCAAGCAAGAAGAGAATGGTAATTGACAATTCCGAAACAGTGAATCTATACACCGACGTTGACGCATACCCATTTCCGGATGTCGAGTCCATGCTTACTCGTGCGGCCGCTTTTCACTATTTCAGCAAAATAGATATGAAATCCGCATACCACCAAATACCGTTGCGATCAGATGACAAACCATTCACAGCCTTTGAGGTTGGGGGCAGACTCTACCAATTCACACGCCTTCGATTCGGTGTTACAAACGCCGTCCCAGCATTCCAGCGAATAATGGATAGCTTTATTGAAAGAAACCAATTGCGCTGCGCCGAACCGTACCTCGACGACGTCTATATCGGTGGGATCACAAAGGAGGAACATGACCGGAATCTACACGCGTTCTTGAAAGCCGCGGAAAAGGAAAGCCTGACGCTCAACATGGACAAATGTAC